CCGAATGCCAGGGTCTTTGACGTCATTTCCCTCGCAGGTGAGAGTGTTTCCTGGTCTGTTCCTTTGATCACTATTCTTAGAGGGGGGGGGGGGGATGAGAGAGAAAGGATTGTTCTTATGGATCTTCTTAATTCTTTGGGCTCTTCCCGTGTGACTAACGGGCCTCCTAGGCCGATTTAGCTTCCCTTCCCGGAAGGGTCCTTTTCTGTTCTTCTATGTACAGGTACTTGACTGACGAGGAGGACATTGGTAACCCCGAGTTTCCGTTTGAGTCTGTTTGGCGGCACATCATTCCTACAAAGATCTGTTTCTTTGTCTGGTTAGTTTCCCACAAACGGATTCTCACCTTGGACAATCTCAAGGCTAGAGGCTGGTATCTTGCCAACAGGTGCAAGCTTTGCGGTTTGGATGAGGAAGATATCAACCACATATTTACTTTGTGCCATTTCACCATAGAGGTGTGGAGCAGATTGAAGAGGGCTTGCGACTCCATTAAGCTCCCCACTAGTGACATTTTAACTACCATTAGTAGATGGCCTTTTCGCTCTGATGGTAGTGTGGAGGGCTAGGTTCCTTTTCAGGGTGCTCCATGCGGCGTGCTGGCAGATTTGGCATGAGAGGAATAGGAGAATATTTCAAGGAAGCCATCTGCATCCTAGAGTTGTTGCTTGCAAAGTTATAAGAGACGTTGAGTGGGCCATTGCTTTTGGCAAGGTGGACAAGGAACAAGGACTGCAGTGGATCGAGATTAAGCTCTTGAGCTCTTAGCTTGTCTTTTGCTTTGGATGCTGCTGCTTCTGGTTTTGGTGGCTGCTTTGGGTATCTGTTATTGGCGGTTGTGGTGTTGCTGGTTCGCTGGCCTTTTGTTTGGTTTCCCTCGGTTGGCTTTGTTAGGGAGTTGGCTTTTGGCTGTTGTCTGTGTGCTAGCGGGAATGGTTTGGCCCATTTGGCTAGCAGGGTGGCCATGTTCTTTGCCTTTTTGCAGGTGGTTTTCCGTCTTTTTTTCCTTTTTCCCTCCTTTTTTCTTTGTTTTTGTCTGGGCTTCCTTTTAGCTTCTTTTGAGTTCTTTCTTTTTTTGGATTTCCTGGTAGTCGGGCTCGTCCTCTTGTGAGCCTCCGATCACCTCTTTCTGTACATTCTTCTCTTTTTTACTTTCAATTCAGCTCAATCACCATTATAAAAAAAAAATATTTTTTGAAAATCACCATTATAAAAATTTTTTTTTTGAAATTTACTAACGGGGCTCTTTAGTATATTCTTTTATATTGGCATATGTTCTCATAATTGTGTCCAACATTCAAAAACACAAATCGGTATTAGGGATGACAATTTTAACCTGACCTGTTTTATCCGATCCGATTGACCTGTTGGTGATGTGGGACCGGCATGGGTACTCTCCCTCAACCCGACTTGCTTTGACACGCTCCATTCTCGACCTGTCTTTTCCTAAATTACGTGTAATTCTATTTTAATTGCTTATCATTTTACTTTTGTTACCGCATATTTATCTACAATAAAGTTGTAAATATGCGAGAACGTCAATTTTTAAAATATTTTAACAACATTTATCATATTTTACTTTGTTTCTTGGGGTTTTCATGAAAAAATTGAATATTTATTCATGTTTTCCTTCTAAACTAAATACTCATTGGGTCTACCTGCCCGACCCGACCTGCAATAGGTAGGGAATGGGTATCGAAACACCCGCGTCAGACTTGCTCCATTGTCATTCCTAACCGGGAGTGCGGATGCCCTAATTGGGGTTGTCTTCATCCCAGCTCAACGTTTTGCCGTCAAAATTTGATTTTTTTAATCAGGAAATCCAATTATGGTTATGCACTAAGGGTGGACAACAAATGGGTTAGGTGGTTTTTAGTCTAAAATTAACCTATACCAACAATAGATATGGTGGACCTGTGCAAATTTTAAGTCCCGTGAATTGGTTTTCGTTTGAGGGCGAGTGTAAGAGAGTCATATAAGATACATAATTAACTTCTAGTTATTATGAACAATTGGTTTATGTCATGTTCAGGATTAATTCTGGATTGTTTTTTAAGGTCACGTGTGATAGAGATGAAATATCTCCACCACTTCAGGAATAGACCAACAACTCTATCTCTCCACTATCCTATTCTGTTTCATTATGTTCCTTAGTTTTAGCAATCCTCTGCGTAGGATTTTCCCTTCTGTTACATCTGCTGTTGTATATAAATATATATTCAATAAAGAGCAACTCAGGTTTTCTGAGACACTTTCATGGCATTAGAGCCTCAAATCCTCTAACGAGGTGCTCTATTTTCTTTTCTTTCTTCCTGATCTTGAGTTTAATGGAACTAACGGCATTTTCCCCCTGTACCTCTTTACTCTGCTTCTTCTTCCTATGCTTTCTTCTTTTTCTTCATCTGTTTTCAACAGCTATGAACGCTCTATCCAGCAGTAACCTTTTCGTTGGGATTGACCCACTTCCACCACCATTAGTCTCGGCATTGCTCTTCCTCTCCCGCAAATGAAATAACACAGTATTTTGTCTCCTCTTTGTCTCTTTCCTCTGTTTCTTCTTCTTCTTCACTAGCTCTACTTACTCCACTGTCTACAATACACTTCCCCATTCTTCCTCCTTTACTCTCCACCACCACCACCACCATGCCTCTAATCAATCCCCACTTTCCCTTTCTTCCATGCCTGTTCTATCTCTCTCTATGCTTCTCTGTTCTCTTTTCCTGCAGCTACCCTTCTGTAACTTCAGCTTTGCCTTTATACCTCCCTTACCCAACAATTCATTCTCTACCCTCCCATCACTCTCGCTCCTTCTCCCTCTCCCACTAACCCCGACGTTTCTTCTCCACTTGAGCCGATTCTGACAACGGTGCTGAGCTGCTATATCAGTATGATTTCGACCTCTTCACCCTTCACACTCTGCTCCTCCTGACCACTCATTCTTTCCCTTTGAAACCCCCTTTTCTATGATATCACTGTTCTCCATAATATATTCAATCCTTCTCCTCACTAGTCACTGCTACTATTGGGAGTTTTGCCGCATTTAAGCTCATCCTGGGTCTGCACTGGAAACGATAATACCATCTCGTTGGCGATGCAGCCCACCCCACCAACCGCATATCAGTGACCGATTTTGCCGTCACTAACTCCTCCAATGACGAGGGATCGTCAAGCAGCAACTATGAGTTCCTTACTTATCGGCACCAGAACAACACACAGACGGCCTCACCAAACCATTGGCTCGACTCTCATTCCGACGATTCTACTTCAAGTTTCACCTCACCGAGGTTCCACTTGCAGGGGCGTGATAGAGATGAAATATCTCCACCACTTCAGGAATAGACCAACAACTCTATCTCTCCACTATCCTATTCTGTTTCATTCTGTTCCTTAGTTTTAGCAATCCTCTGCGTAGGATTTGCCCTTATGTTACATCTGCTGCTGTATATAAACATATATTGAATAAAGAGCAACTCAGGTTTTCTGAGACACTTTCAACGTGAACTCCTCACGACCCGTAAAATTAATGGTTACCTTAAAGTATATAGTAACGAAATTGTTAAGATCGTACATAAATTTTTTCTAACAACTCAAGTTATTGCGATCAGTAGGCTTTTGATATGGTATCAGAATCCATAATAACCATGAGATCTTCTCTTCGAATCTCGACGAATTTCTATTAATCAGTCACGTGATATTCATATCTATCACGCACCTCTTCGTTTCTTTACACAAACTATATCATGACAAGTTAATGTAAAAGTTATTCTTTCCGTAGTCATGGGAACTATCACCTGCTCCTCCTCCGAACTCAGCCAACAAGGCCAACAACTGCCGATGTTCCCACTCGTAACCCCGATCATCCACCGCCGGCTCCTCCGTCGGCGGCAGAACCATCCGGTCTCGGCAAAGTGGGCACGAAGACACGCCGTGAGCTGCTGCCGCCGTCAGCCATTTGTCGACGCAATCCCGGTGGAACAGGTGCTTGCAATCCAACCTCCGGACGCTTTCCCCTTTGGCAAACTCCGACAGGCACACCGCGCAGTCCGCCGATTTCGGGTTCTCATGCCCCGAGTAGGATGTCGCCGGGAACTTGGCTTCGATTGATCCGTGCATGGTCTTGGGCGCGTCCAACCCGCCGGATATGGAACGGAGGATGAGCCGGAGTTTGATGAGAAGGAGGCCGGAGAAGAAACGGGCGACGAAGTAAAGTTGGGAGAAGATGGTTGGCATAGAGGTCGGCATATTATTATTTAAAATTATGAAACCAAAAGATGTGAAAATGGCGAATCAGTACTTCGATGATTCGACATATATATAGGATTTTACTATAACCGTCTACCATAACTTAAGCTTGTCTTTCAATACTCACAGTAATATTCCAAAATATTGGCACCGACGTGATTTTTGTTATAGGAATTTTAGTTGACGGTTAGAATTAACGGTTGACCTAAAGGCGATCAGTCTATAGTTGAGCACTGATTACGTGATGTTTATTTGTCGTTCATTTATGGGTTATGTAGGGAATTACTATTTAACAACTCTTAAATTACTTGTTAATAAATAAATATTAAATGTTTTCAAATAGTATATTTGTATTTTCCAATCAAATAAACTTGTTCTATTCACAATTTTATAGAAATAAAAATAAACTACTTGGGTGGTGAGTTCACTTCAGTATGCTGGTTGCTTGAATGTGTTAAAATAGCAATGGTTTGATGAATTTGTTTGACGATTTCTTTTCTCCGGTTAGTGCTTTGTCTAATTCCCGGGCGGCGGCATATGATTGGACCGGGTTATGATAGTATATTACATTGTACTTATTAGCTAGTACTCGTCTTATTATCCTATAGAATCAAAGGGAAGAACATTTTCCTTGTTATGGTGATGGATACAGTTTATTTATTTTAGAGCTCGTTTGCTTGTTGGACTTGAAAATGAGGGGTTTGAGTTTTAAAAACCTTTGAATTTATGATGGATTTGTTGCATTGTGGATTTGGAAGAGTACATTGTTTGTTTGATTAATTTTTATCAATGATTTATATTGATTTGTATCACAACTTTGCCTTCAATAATCAAATCCCAAATGAAATATGAGATTTGCAAATCGATTGGGTACACGGATTTGGATATAAAAAAAGAGTCCAAATCCGTGGGCCCACGAAGTTGTGTCCCTTAGCAAACAACGGTGTTGTTCCAAATCCTTGATGCTTGAGATTTTTTTTTTTTTGATCCATCACCCACATTTCCACAAGCAAACGATACCTTAATTTCATCAATAAGAAAACAATAATTGAATGAAGTTAGATGATTGATGCGCCTGTTTTTTGTTCAGACGGGCCGGTCATATGGTTGGAATAAAATTTATCAAGACGGCACATAGCCGGCCAAGTCGCAATCCAGAAAATAGTCCATGGAATTATAGTGAACTTCATTCTTAAATTTTAATTTCTTATATTGGTTAATATTTAATGATTGATTATATTTTTTTGTTTTTTTCTTGATCTTTGTATCTCTATGTGTTTTAATTTGAATTTGAAGACAATTAAATTATTTCTTCAAATTCAGAATTAGCTTGGCACTCAGCAATAGCTTCCCCACCTCTTGAAACTGAGGATGCCTTTATAAATTATCTGTCACACAATTGAATATGCCTTGTTTGTATTTGATTTGGAAATCCAGTCCTAGCAACTTCAGTTGACCTTGATTCTGGATATGAGTGTGTATCTTCTGACCAAGGGGTGTTTGAGACTCTCATGGTCAGTAAGAATGATGAAAGACCTGCCTTCTAAGTAATGGCACCACTTAGTGACAGCCAATAAAACTGCGAGATACTCCTTTTCATAAGGCGATAAACCCTGCGGCTTGATTCCCAATGTCCGGCTATGGTAAGCAATGGGTTTACCCCCTGAGACAACACTGCCCCTATTCCCACATCGCTGTGTCGTCGGTTTCCGATTAGAATGGAATGGAGAAATCAGGAAGAGTGAGCATAGGGGCTTGGACCATTATAGATTTGAGAAAGTTGAATGCCTTGTCAGCAGTAGCATACCACAAGAAGCCATCTTTCTTGACTAGTTCAGTGAGAAGACGACTTATAGCTCCATAATTCTTGACGGATTTCCTCTAATATCTAGTTAAGCCTAGGAAACCGCGCAACTCCTTCACATTCCTTGGAACAGGCTATTTGACCATGGCTTCTACTTTGCTAGGATCAGTAGCTACCCCTTGCTCATTAATGATGTGACTTAGATAGTTCACCTACCTTTGTGCAAAAGAACATTTGGATGGTTTGGCAAACAAGGTATGTTTTCTAAGGATTTGGAAGGTCTGGGATAGGTGGTGACAGTGAGAGGTTTGGTCAGGACTATACACTAAGATGTCATCAAAGAATACAAGGATAAATTTGCGTAGGTGAGGACCAAAAATTTGGTTCATGAGAGCTTGAAATGTTGCAGGCGCATTAGTCAATCCAAAGGGCATGACCTTGAACTCGAAATGTCCATGATGAGTGCGAAAGGCAGTTTTGTGTTGGTTTGCTGTGTTCATTCTGACATGATGGTAGCCAGAGAGAAGGTCTAGCTTAGTGAAATACCTTGCCCCGCCTAACTCATTTAACAGGTCGTCAATAACAGGGATAGGGAATTTGTATTTGATGGTAATGGAGTTGAGTTGTCTATAATCAATACAAACCGCCAGGTTCCATCTTTCTTTAAGACTAAAAGGAGAGGTGAGACAAATGGACTGTGGCTAGGTTGGATGAATCAGCTATCAGCATCTCATTGCACAGTTTTTCAACTTCTAATTTCTGAGGAAGAGGGTAATTGTAAGGTCTAAGGTTGACTGGGGAAGAACCATGTTGTAGTGGTACGGTATGGTCACAATCTCCTAATGGGGGGAAGGGAGACAGACTTGCCAAACATATCACTATATTCATCTAAGATGGGTTGCACAAAGGAGGGTGGAGTGGTACCTGTAGCCTTGTCAGAGGTCATGGCAAAGAAGTGTCAAGTCCAGCTGCCTCCATTCTTCTTGAAGTACTTCTGAAGACCTTTTCTAGACATCGACTTGCAACTACCTGGCTCTTGAACGCCATACAATTCAACCTCCACACCATCCTGCTATAAAATCAATTGCAAATTCACAAAATCAAACCTCACAGGGCTTATAGTTCTTAACCAGTCCAATCCCAACACCAAGCCATTTGATCCCAATTAGAGTATCCTGACATCATACTGAAACGGAAACTCCTGCATAGTCCAAGTGAAGGCTTTGCAGACAAAAGTGCTCATCAGTACTATCCCTTGCATCTTGTATGTCCATTTTCTACGGGCAAATACCTAATTTTCTGGTACGAGTGCTTTCATTGATATATGGGTAAGGTTGAATTAGAATGGAGGATTATGAAATCGAAATATGTGTGTTTTACAGGCTTGTCGTCACTCTCCTCTCAACACCTCTATGACGGCTGTTAATCAAAAATAGATCAGATCTGATGCTAGCTGTCAATTGATAAAATGGAGCGCCTGAATTCTGATTTCGGCGGCGGAAGTGATAGATATCGGTGACGACGATGATGACTGATTAGATCTGGCGTCGTAGTCGTCGCCATAGTCAAAACGAGGCTACCTGAAACTGTTTCAACACTTAGCCAAAAATAAGAATTCTTCAAGTGAGTTGAGATGACTTCTTTGGCAAGCAATTGTGAATTGTGGATTGATCCAATTGGGATCATATCACCTACAAGAAGAAGTAATTGATTTTGACGAGTCATTCACTCCTGTAGCTAGAACTGAATCCATAAGATTGCTCCATAAGATTTTCATAAAGTTATATGAAAATACCTTTATTTCAAATGGATGCAAAAGTGCTTTCCTTAATGGAGATATTAAGGAAGAAGTTTATGTTAGTTAACCTCCAGGATTCATTGATCATCAACATCATGATCATGTTTACAAACTATCAAAACCTCTATATGGGTTGAAACAAGCACCCAGAGCTTGGTTTGAAAAACTGTCCACATTTCTAAAAAATGAAAAATTCTCTCAAGGAAGTGTAGATAAAACCCTATTCATTAAGAGATACAATTTTGATATACTACTAGTACAAGTTTACATTGATGACATTGTTTTTGGATTGACAAACCCTTCAATGTGTGCTTATTTATGTGAAACCATGAAATTTGAATTTGAGATGAGTATGATGGGAGAACTTTCATATTTTCTTGGTTTACAAATTAAACAAACAAATTCTGGCATTTTTATCTCACAAACTAAATACATTGACTCTATGCTTAAAAAGTTCGCCATGAACTCATTAAGCTCTAGCCCTACTCCTATGGTTCCAAATCTAAAACTAGACAGAGATGAAAGTGGTACTCATTTATGCGAAAAAAGGTATATGTTCCAAATCTAAATACATTATCTCACAGCCAGCCGCCCTGATATACAATTTAGTGTAGGACTATGTGCCAGATTTCAAGCCAATCCAAAGGAAAGTCACTTCAAAACGGTAAAAAGAATCTTTAGAAATCTCAAAGGAAATGTTGATGTAGGATTATGGTATCCATTAACTGATTCCTTTGAATTAATTGGATATAGTGATTCAGGCTTTGGGGGAAGTCTGGTTGATAGGAAAAGCACCTCTGGCACAACACAATTTTTAGGATCTGCACTTGTTTCATGGTTTAGTAAGAAACAAGGTGCAGTTGCACTCTCTACTGATGAAGCTGAATACATGGCAGCTGGTAGTTGTTGTGCTCAACTCATGTGGATGAAAGCCCAACTTTCAGATTATGCATTTATTCGTAAAAACATTCCTATTTGTTGTGATAACACTAGCACTATATGCATGAAAAAAAATCCATACATTCTAGAACTAAACACATCGAAATCAAATATCATTTCATCAGAGGCCTTGTTCAGGCTGGAAATGTTTGTTTACAATTTGTGCCTATAGATTCTCAGCTTACAGACCTTCTTACCAAACCTCTTACTAGTGAAAGGTTTTTGCAACTTTGCACAGAAATCGGGTTAAAATCTCTTAGCCATAGTTTAAATATGACAAAATAAGATCAAATAGAGTGATTCTGCTCTAGGATTTTTATTTGTCTCGAGTTGTACAATTCTTTATCTCCTTTTCAGATCATGTTTGTTGTTTTTCAAAAACTTTCTTAAGCAAGCTCGTCTCCTAATGGTCAATCTTTTGCTCTCTGTCTGGTGAAACTCTTTGGC